GTGGAAGCCCCACGTGTTGGGGTGAAGGGTGCCCTGTGGCCGTGGTCCAGGAGGCAGACAGGCAGGTAAGAATACCATTGCCTGGTGGCTGTGTCATCCCCTTCTCTGGCTAAGAACACCCACTTGTGATCTGACAAGTAAAGCCTTGAGATCTTTTGGCAGATCCTGTCTGGTTGATTGAAAGTGTACTTGCTCTAGTCTCCTGAACAATTATTTCCAAACTTTTCACTAATTCCTGTTTTACTGCTGTGATGTTAAATCAGGTCTGACCCTAGAAGCTAGGGTGACCAACTCATTCCAGTTTGTCCAGGACTACTTTCCCTGTTTTAACACTGAAAGACCCATGTCCTGGGAACCCTCTCAGTCTCAGGCAAACTGGAACGATAGTTGGTACCATGCTAGAAGCTTTGAGTGAGGATTTGGATGCCGTGATAAGTGAATCAGAGTGAATGGCTTCTTGGTTGAAAGTAAAATTTCCAGAATGATGTGCATAATTTGCACTCTCAGGCACATACAAATAGGCAATCCTAGCAAATGGTCAGAATACTGCCTTTCAGTATATCCAGTTAAATCCAAAAAAGAGGGGGAGACTGAGATGTGTCTACCCTTTGATGTGTTGCCCTTCCGCAATTCAGCCTTCACCCCCTTACCCCAGAATCTTGTCACTTACTTGCTAGTTTTTATATTGACTAGTACAGCACCTTGCTACTCAAGCCCTAAATGACACAATTTAGAAGAAACAAGAAAACTCTTGGTTACCAGTGCACTTCACTCACTTCTCATGTGAAGAGCATTCATTCATTCAGCAAAACTCATGGGGAATGCACCATGCGTCTGCCACCCTGCGTGGTGCCGGCATAGTGGAGAGTCTGCTGTACACGGTGTCACATCACAGAGTGAGGACGTGTTCTGAGAGAGGTACACATAGGGTGCTCTGGAAATATTTTTGTCCTTAGATCAACTGTAGTTATTCTGTCAGGAAGAAACAAATATAGGACAGAGATACACATTATACTAGACTATTACTCAAGACCATTTACCCAACAGTCTACAAATAGCTGTTGGGAACCTGCTCCTTGACAAACATTACGCAAGGCACTAAAAAGAAGATTGAAAATTATTCCAGTGTCAAGTGATCCTTAGAAATCAAGTTTTGGAGACTGACTACTTTAACTGTCTCAAGCATTAGAACAATTTGAATTTATTTAAGTTACTCTGAATTGGCTACAGATCCATGATCTTTTATTCAAAATATGTGGGGCTGAATGCATTTTACAAATCAGAAATTTTCAGGTTTTTGATATATAATAAGGTACATGTACCATATATCACATTTCTATGTATTTGAGACAGCACTCCATGATCAGAGATATTGATAATTCTATTGCAATATGTTGGAACGTTTACACTAAGTGACATATATAAATGCTATAAATAGCCTCATTTGAATTCAGGTCAGATTTTTATGACAAATGAATCATGAAGAAAAATTTGAATTTCAGAGATTTTTGAATTTTTCTGAATTGAAATAAGGGATTGTGGACATGTGCTAGATAGAGTAGACAGCAAACACAAAAGTATCAAGTATCAACATATTAGTACTATGAACTAATTTTCCTCACACACAACTAAGATTATAAGGTGGTGTTAAAGAAATGTCAAGAGAATCATGAAGATAGTATGTGCTTTATGAATTTAGAGAGGGAACTACTTCTTGCTGAGGTTGTCAAGGCCTCACAGAGCAGATGGGATCGAGGAGCATCCTGCAGGAGGGGTGATCAACTATGTGGAGAGGGAGAGTACAGAGCAGCAGACCAGGCCGGTGACAGTGCTAATCAAAGGTAGGTGGTCCCACATTTCAACAGCTCAATTTATATTTGACTTTCTGAGTGAGGAAAGGGATCAGAATTGCTATTTAACTTTTACAATATTAATTTATAACATTAGCTACTATTTTAGAGAACCTTTTATATCCTGGTGAAATGGGAAAATTGATTGGGGTTTTAAGAATATACCAAGTAATTATTATTCCTTTTTGTTTCATGGATAAAGATGACATTTTGGTCATTGCTTACAAAAAAATTTGCCCCACTGTTGTCGAATGTAATATATGACTTTCTTTTATGTGAAGATCTAAGAAGACTTTATTTTATAGTCATTTTCAAACAAAATCTGGCAATATTTAGATCAGTGGTTCTTAACATTGGCGGTCCTTTGGAAACATGGATTGGGGTGGTGGGGAGAGAGGTGTTGCCTGTATTCTAGCAAAAGATTCTGACATAACTGGTCTGGGGAACAGCCTGTACATAGAGAGTTTTAAAGCTCCTGGTAGGTCTCATGTTCATCCAAGGTTGAAAACTGCTGGTTTTGATGAATTAACTCTTGGTCTTAAGTAGTACATAGGGGAGGTGAAGTCAGTATTTAGCTAACTATTTTTGCAATGAGAATGAAAACATAAAGCATGAAATTAAAATAAAAATTAACTATACATCAACTAAAGGTTTTTGTTAGAAACATGTTTTTAAACCGAAGGATAATCTTTATCCTACTTTGTATTCATTTTATTAGAATAATACATTTTTTTCCAAAGAAATACAGGTGTTATGGTTCATGCACACACACAGATTTAGCTTTATAATCTGGAAACCGCTCTCCTCTCATATAACTTTGCTATTTGGCATCCAGTCAAAGCCGTAAAAGAGAGAGAGCATCTACAATTTGTTCCATCCCCACACTATGAGTTTTAAAGAGATGGTGAGCCAGAATTTTAACCTTGTGGAAACCAGAGACATCAGAGATTTGGCAAAGGTCACACAGCTCAGTGGTGGTAGAGTCCAGCCCAGCCTTGATTTCTGACTTGATACAAAGCTTTTTCCACTCGCCTCATGCTACTTCCTTTGTTTGCCTTTATACAGAATATAAACTGGGTTGAGATTGGTGAAGACAGTTGGAAACAGAAGCATAAGATAAATTAAACTTCCAGACAGTAAACAGGATAGTAGAATTATTCAAGAGCAGAAGTTACAATACAGATGCAGCATCTAACTACTTTCTTATGTGTGAGATAAGATTATCTTATTTGATGCATATTCTACTGTGCATCACTCCTGCCAGAATGTGGTGTATAAAGTATCAATTGATAAAATCGATTGTGAAATGTTTTTTTAGTGCCTAGTTTAGAGAAAAGTAAATTATGCTTCAAGAGTCAACATTCATTCAGGTTGCAAACATTTGATATATTTTCCATTGCCACCGAAAACAATAGGCAGCTATAAATCCTCAGAAATTGATAAGGATGCAGGAAACTTTGGAAGCAAGATCCAATTTCCTTCAGAAAAGTAGATAGAAGTCTTTTCACATACAGGTCTACTGCATATTTTTAGCTTTTATTAGCATATGTAAGTCACAGCAGAATGACACTGGGTGGCTGCTAGGATGGTATGGCCCACATTTGAGCTTTATTTCCACGTGGTGATTTGTGACTGAATCTGGCAATAAGGCTTTTAAGAGATGTAATATTTCTCTAAGTCCCTATAGAAGTATACCATTAGGTTTCATCCAAGCTAGCTAAAACTTTCCAGTCTGATGAAATCTCGGGGTAGAGAGGAAAAGCTTTCTCAAGATATTGTCACAATGCAGAACTTTTTGAATTAAAATGACATTTAGCAAGTATTTACTTCTATATCAGTTATTTAATCTAAAACATAAAAGCCCACATAAAAGTTATTTGAAAGCTTGGGGAGTTAAGTGGTTCCTTAACTTGTTGTTGAGGCTCCAGATCTCAGCTTCTCCCTGGAATGCCTCTCATCTTAGTGGTTTTGCCATCTGCCCTCCACATCACAGAAGCAAAGACCAAATAGAAGGCCCTGCTATGTTGCATTATGACTAAAGGGCAATGTGAGAATTCAGATTTCTTTTTCTTCTCCAAAATATTTGGAGCAGAATTTTTTTTTAATTAAATTAAATCCTGTATAAAATACAAAGAGGACTGAGATCCAGAGTAAAAAATTCCTTTGCTTGTTAAGAAGTATGAATAGTCCTTAGGGATATTGAAAGGGACAATGGCCTTAGAAATTAAGGATTTGGTTTGGAGTCCTGCCTTACCATAACTAGATACGTCACCTTCTGTAAATCATTTGGTGTATCTGAAGGCCATTATCTAAGAAATGGGACAGTAATCTGAGTCATACTTATTGTAAGGATGAAACAACTTGTATGTTGCAATGCATTAAAAAGTTATTTTACTTTCTGTTAGTAGGCTTCTTCAAGTTAGGTTTTTTTTTTCTGGACCAAAAATAACTGTAAGCTCACAATGGAATGTGTTAAATTAAGAGCTGGGGGTGTACAATCTCAAAATAGTGACATGATGCTTTCTCAGTTTAGATCAGCAACACCTGCTCTATAATGTTTGTCTTTTGGTCTTTTTTAAAAATATTGTACTTTCAACACCAGTTTTAGCAGGTATAGGTTGAAAATAACCTATCACAATAAATATAAGTAACTGACTAAAATTAGCAGGATTTTGTAATTGGTACAAATCCATGTAGCTGAAAAATCTGCTTCTGTCACTTGAGCCAATCCTTTATTTATTGGTTATTTCCATTTATAGCACCCAAATGTCTAATTTGTTCATTCAGAGTCTTTCAAGTCATGATTGTTCAGTGTTTACGTCAAGGTTTGGCTTTAATTTGATTACTAGATCACTCCCTCCTCCAAGAGTTTGTTTTTTAAAATCTTTCTTTCCTCATAAGGGATGGTCTCCTGAACTAGCAGATTTAAGCATAACAATGTGCAAACTCTGATCTCAGTAAATTAAGAATTTTCAGTTGTATCCAACTTCAAAGATGAAGGCTGGCGAAGGTCATTTTCCTGCTCTCAAACTCATGGCTTTTCGAGCTGTAGAATGAACGTGAGACTCATCCATCTTCAGATACAGAGGGCAGTTGTACGCAGTCATGGACTAACCTGGCTGTGGTTCTCTCTGGTTGTTTTCTTTACAGCAACACCCCTGAGTTCACTCACGCCGCCGAGGGTGGACACTGCTCCAGTGGTCGCGTCTCCCTATCAAAGAAGAGATTCAGACAGATACTGTGGGCTCTGTGCAGCCTGGTTTAATAATCCTCTGATGGCCCAGCAACATTACGATGGCAAGAAACACAAAAAGAATGCGGCGCGAGTTGCTTTATTAGAACAACTTGGGACGACTCTGGACATGGGGGAGCTAAGAGGTGAGAGAAACTCTTCTAATTTCTTCCATGAAACTGGGCTTTCAGAAAAAGCCTTGTGCTTTTACAAACTGGGGTGATTCTTCTTAATCATCTACGCTCATCCAAAAGGAATAGAAGAAAAAGGAAATGAGCAGAAAACTAGCTTAATTGTAATCTCGTTTGTTTTAAAGTATTTATTTTCATATTTTTATTGACTATTTTTCAGATCAAAGCCACCCATCCATGAACCAGATTTTTTCCTTCTGCTTTATCTTTAAACAGCTCTAATGAGTGCTTTTGTAGATAAGCAGTATGAGAGAAGATGCTAAAAAGGCCAAGTAGTATTATCTTGTTTTAAACTTTTGTGTTTTTATAAATTTAGCCGAAACAAAGCAACACACTAACTCTATTTAATTAAAGCAAGCCCCAGTCCCTTTAATAGAAATATCTAGGAAACTGAGGTAAGACGGTTCTGTGTGCCACTATATAGTCAACTCCTGGCTCCCCCCCAACTCTGATGGGTATTTTCTCGACTGTTGGAAACCATGCAGCATGTGAATTTCGTGTGAGATTTTACAGAAGCTGCTGAGGAAGCGACTTGGAAACCATAGGGTGAGGATCAGTCCCATGGATTTCTTAGGAAGACACACACTAATTTGTAGGGCTTAGTAGAATGTTTCATCGTCAACAACCATTGAAGCATTTTTTCATCACCTAAACATTTTTGATCAACTGATGTTGGCAATGTAGAAGTAGAACAAAATCGCATACTATGTTTTCCTGAGGAAATTCATTTTCTCGGAAAAGTATTTCTGCAAAGAGTGCTGTGGATATTATACTTAAGATGTTGTATGGGTGTGACAAGCTTTTATGGGCTGGCCAGGAATCGTCGTTCATAATAGCGGTAATAACAAAATCTACTAATCAATCTTGAGATTTCAACCTGGGTTTAAACTGGCTCTGCATGTGGAGCCTATAATTTTTGTTATCCTAACCAGGCTATGAGCCTCCAAGAGGGATGATTATAGTCAGGAAATGACCTAGTACAATTCTAGACCAGAGAAGTGGGACAGAAGATCATGCTGTGTGAGCCGAGGGGAGGGACAGGTCATTACTGATTATGTTGGTTGGGGGAGACTTTATCAAGGAAAGAGACTTGAGTTGGAACTAGAAATGTGGGTAGGATTTTAGCAGGTGAAAAGGCATTCCATGTGAGCAGAATTATATATGGTCCTCCATCGGTGTCCATGAGGGATTGGTTCCAGGACCCTTCAGATACCAAATGCAGGGATGCTCAAGTCCCTTATATAAAACGATGTAGTGTTTGCATATAACCAACGCACAACCTCCTGTATACTTTAAATCATCTCTAGATTACTTATAATACCTAATGCGATGTAAATGCTGTGCAAATAGTTCTTATACTGTATTGTTTAGGGAATAATGACCAAAAAAATGTTTGCACATGTTTAGTACAGATGCAGCCATCATAGGCCATTCAGTCTGCGGTTGGTTGAATCTGCAGATGAGGAGGGCCGACTGCCTGCTCAAGAAAAGAGGTAGGCAGCTATAGCTGGCAAATGAACACAGTATGCAAGAATCCTATCCTACAATAGAGATTTAAGGTTGGAGGTCCGTTAGTATGTCTATAGAACTTGATTAGAGGCTGTTTTTTCCAAGGTAAGTAACTAAAAACAACAAATAAGAGCAAACATTAAAAACACTATTTTTGTGTATGATTTCTACCTATAGAAAAACAACATTGGACTTACTATTTCCATATGTTGAATAATCTCATTGCAGAGGCTTTTGAATTGCTGGTACTATCGCTTTTTGTTAGGGGCTTTCTTGAGTTTTCAGTCTATGTCTTGTTAAAAAGTGCAGGAAGAGTCTCTCTATAGCTGAAGGCTTACCCCCAACTCCCTGTTACTGGCAGATAACAAGTTGGCTCAGTGACTCCTTCACAGCAGGGCACTGAAGGAGAAAAACAGGGCTTTATTTATGTTTTGTGCCAGATATTAGAAGACTTGTAGAAGAATTATTCCTAGAGCACATTCTTCTTGTCTGTTTTGAATTATCAGTGCTGCATCTTTTATGTACAACCGCATCTTAATGACTTAGGCATCTGAATTCTGTAACATTTGAGCAGCTTGTCTTTTATACAGAAGACAAAGAGGGCTGCTCTTTTGACTTGATAACTCAATGTGACTATGACTCAGTAGCACAAGAAATGCAATTAGCATTGAACACAATGTCCTTGAAACCAACCTTTTCACCCACCCAGGTGACATCTTGATATATATTTATTCATGCATTAAATATTGCAAAAGCTGGAGGAATAAAGCAATGATGATAATCTAGCACTTTTTAAAACACACACACACACACCTATTTCTGGAATGCTTCTAATGCATTATCAATGAATTAATCAAGGCAAAAATGCTAATTGGTAAATACTGGCATATGCATAACTTTTTAAAACATGGCATCAGCTAGGCCAGTGTCACAGGCTTTCTCTCTTTCATTGCATTCTCACTTTTTTTGAACACCACATCATTTACTTATTTATTATGATTTTCCTGTCTTTTCTCCCTATGTCCGCTAAAGGTTGTTAGCAACTTGAAAGCAGGCATCTATGTCTGTTTTATTCACTGATCTGTTCGAAACACCTAGAATAGTGACAGACACGTAGTAAGCACACAATAATTGCCAAATGGATGAATAAACAGAGAAAGCAAAAATTTTAAAAACCACCTAAAATCCTACATTCTTAACATGGCAATCATTTTCATTTCTAAAAGGATCCTGATTGCATAATTTTTACAAGAAATTATGATTTTTTCTTCTAACTTTTAAAAATGATATATATTTTACATATTGTGAAATGAAGAGATATTAAGCATTATAGTTCCATGAGTTTTGACAATGCACACACCTGTGTAACCCACACTCCTGTCAAGGTATGTAACTTTTCCATCATGACGTAATTCCCATGTGCCACTTCCCACTCAATCCTAATCTATCATTCCAGGGAACCTCTTTTCTTATTTATTCGTCATAGATTAATTTTGCGTGTTCTAAAACTTCCTATAAATGGAAGCAGAAAATATTTTTGTGTGTGTCTAGCTTCTCTTGCGTAGCATATTGTTTTTGAAATGTCTCCATTTATTGCACATAAAGTAGGGTAGCTGCTTGCTCTTTATTACTGAGTAGTATTCTACTGTATAAAACTTCTACAATTTGTCTATTCATTGGCCTCTTGAGTTTCAGGGTGCTATTTTGAATAAAGATTTCATGAACAATCTTTTTTTTTTGTTGACGTATGTTTTACTTCTCCTGGTAAATATCTAGGAGTAGAATTGCTGGGTCATAAGTTGGGTGTATTTTTAACTATATAAGAAACTGCCAACATTTTTTCCAAAGTAGCTGGATTATTTTGCATTCCCAAAAGCAATATATATTAATTATATATCCTCACCAACATTTGTTTTTGTTAGTCTTTAAATTTGAACCATTGTAGTGGGTGTAGGAGAGTATTTCATTATGGCTTTAATTTGCTTTTCCATGTGAACTAACATGTCAAGTGCTTTTGTAATGTGCTTATTGGTCACTTGTGTATCTTCCTTTGTGAAGTATCTGTTCATTTCTTTGTCTATATTTTTTCAAAATTTCGTTATTTGCCATTTTTTATTGAGTAGTAGGTAGGAGGTTTTCATATATTATTGGCACAAATCCTTTGTCAAGTATGTGCACTGTGAATATTTTTCTCCTAGTCTCCTGTCCATAATATTAAATTATGGAAGTATAATTTATCTCTTTTTTCTTTTGTGATCATTGTTTTTTGTGTGTCATCTAAAAAATCTTTGTCAACACCCACGTTCAAAGACATTCCTATATGTTTTCTTCTATAAGTTTCATCATTTTAGCTTTTACATCTAGGATTATCACATATCTCAAATTAATTTTTGTGTATAGTGTGAGATAGGGGTTAAAATTTATTTTTTTTTCATACGTTTACCTGATTATTACAGAAAATTTGTTGAAAATATTTTTTTTCCTCATTGAATTTTCTTGGCACCTTTATTGAAAACCTATTGATCATGTGTGAGTCTATTTCTATACAATCTATTGTGTTCTGTTGATTTCTTTGTCTATCTTTATGCTGTAATACATTGTATTGATTTTTTTAGCATTACAGAAGTCTTGAAATCAGGTAGTGCAAACTCTCCAGATTTGTTCTTCTTTCTCAAGATTGTTTGGCTAAATCTTTTGCATTTCTATATAAATTTTATAATCAGCTTGTCAGTCTCTACATAGAAAACTTGTTGAAATATTGAATGGGATTGAGTTCACTCTATAGGTCAATTTAGGGGGAATTTATTTAAGTTCTTCACAATATTGGTCTTCCAATCCATGAACATGTTATCTCTCTCTATTTATTTATGTTTCTTTAACTTCTTTCAGCAACGTTTTGTAGTTTTCAGTATAAAGGTTTTGCCCATTATTTGTTAAATTTATTCTCAAGTATTATTTGTTCTTTTTTAATTGAAGTATAATTAATATATAACATTATATTAGTTTTAGGTGTACAACATAATGATTCAATATTTGTATACAGTGAAATGATCATCATATAAGTCTAGTTACCATTCATCACCATGCAAAGTTACAAAATTTTTTTCTTGTGATGAGAACTTATAAGATTTACACTTAGCAACTTTCAAATATGCAATACAGTATTATTGAACTATAGTCACCATGCTGTACATTACATCCTCATGACTTATTTATTTTATAACTAGAGGTTTGTACCTCTTTACCCCCTTTACTGATTTTGCCTGTCTCCCAACCTCCCTCGCCTCTGGCAAACACCAATCTGTTCTCTGTATCTATATGTTTTGTTTTGTTTGTTCATTTGTTTTGTTTTTTTAGATTCCACATATAAATGAAATTATACTGTATTTGACTTGCTCTGTCTGACTTATTTCACTTAGCATAATACCCTGTGGTCCATCCATGTT